GGACCACCCAATGGTCGGTGACTCTGGTTCTTTGAAGACAATCTTTGTATCCTGGGAGTCTGTTTAAGTACAGTTCTCAGCGAGATTGGCTCTCAGTCGACTCCCGCAACACCTTCTAGATAGACGAATACGGTTCGAGACGGCGTTGCTCCCGGAATTCGGTTTCAACACGTCTTGATACATTGCGGTCTCGGATATTACATGGGAGCTGCTAATGCAGAGCATTAAAAATATCGTTTTTTAATTACAATATTGTTGAAAGTGTTCAAAAGATTTATCAGTAAATTATGACATTATAAGATAAATGTTTTTTAAAATATAACAATTAAATGTATTTTATAAATTTAATTAAATGTTTTGCGTTTATTTGGCTATGCCTGACCTAATTATTAAAGATCTCAGCGAAATCCGTAGTCCAGTGGCGTAGCGAAGGGGTGACAAGAGGATGTATGATGCCCCGGGCGCCGCTCGCAGAGGGGCGCCAAATGGTCTCCAAACAAGATTTTCCAGAAAATTTCAGTTTTTATTTCGATCGATTTCTGGAAAATATATTTTAAAATGAATAATTATTGTAATATAATTAATTACTTATTTTCTTGATTTGTCTGATAAAATTTGTAATAAAATGTTTGCAATACATCAACCAAATATCTCCGCATACAAAACGTTCTTTCTGACTACTTTATTTCTCTAAAACAGAGATATATTTTTTATTTTTTTAAACGAAATGCACGTATGACTCCCTTTTTTTTATTTTAAAACGATAACACGATCTTGTCCCTAATTTCTCAAACATATCCAGTTTCCAAAAACAGATTCCATAGTCTGGAAATGACATTTTGGGGAACTCCTAACGCTTCCGCTACAATGGATTGCGTTTGACTATCCTGTAAACGACTGATGGTCTTCCTGGTTACCGATTCAACTAGTCATCGTGCTGAGACATCGTATATTCACTTCTACAAAGCATTCAACGCGTGCCAGTTGTTTTTAGTCTTCTACTAAAAAGGAATGCTGCAGGTCGCTAATTACTCCTTATCTAAAACGCATAGTTTCTGACGTCACAGACTAAATCTGCATATTCCCAACTTTGTAAACGCTATAATTTTCCGTTTATAATCTCTTCTATTGCCTTTTGTTAAAAAAAGGTTGTCGATTATATGGTTTTTTAATACCGAACTCGCAATGTTCCCTAATTCTTTTGAGCACTGAATGTCTGCAAGATGTTATTCCGCAGTTGAAAAGAAACTGAAACTAAAACTCCATTACAGATCTATGGAGAAAATGTTTTTCCAAACCAAAGAGTAGCACTTCAAATACTCCTTACTATTTCATTATCAAATGCTAGCTATGAATATTCGTTTAGCAAATTAAAATAAATTTTGACATATTTACAATCAACGAAAGGACAAGATCCCCTAAGCCATCTAGCATTTTTAAATGTGGAAAGAGAAAAATTTTAAATGACTGGCTTTAATGAGGTAATTGATAAATTTGCTTCATTCAAGATAAGAAAAATGCATACATAGTAATTAATTATATTAATGTATTATAATACTATATTGTCATTAATAAATATATCTACTTATGTATAGTATACATTAAACTTTTAATTGTTTAAAAACTGTACTTTTTTAAAAACAGTTATATAAATAAGTAAAATAAATAATACATTTCTAATTCTAGATCATCGTATGTCTGATTTTTCCGCCAGCACAGATACATTTCCGAATCCAATGCTAGTGTAGTTAGGTAGTGACTGTTCTTAATACATTTTAGAGTATTTTATGGCAGATTGAGCATTTTATTATTATTTGCATTATTTTCTTATTACGAATATATTCTATACATTATATTACTGTAAGTGTTTTTTTTTGGAGGGGAGCGCCAAAAAGGTATTTTGCCCCTGGCTCCAGTTATGCTCGGTACCCCACTGCCGTAGTCCTCTATAATAATAATACAAAATCAAATAAACAGTATACTTATTGCGTTGAAATTGCTCACTATTTTTAAACAATAGAGTTATAATTTAAAAAATAAAGATCTTATCTAATGGCAACATTCTGGAAACTGGATATTAGTGATGCCACAAGGAAGATAGGTTAAAGGATCTTAACTTTCCTACATAAACATAAATAAATGCAACGTTAATACACACACTAACCAATGAATTAGAAACCTTTAAGATTTTCAGTTGAATGCGTGCTAGGGATGAGGTATGCAAATTTTTATGACGTGAGTTACACATGATTAGTATAAGTAAGGTGTAAGAGTGCTTTTCACGATGAATGAAGTAAAATGGGAAAAACAACAGATATTTCACAATTTGGAAAAGGGCTTATTATTGGTGATCGTTTAGCAGGGCCTCGATTTCGAAGACAGCAAATCTCACTGGGTTCTCAAAAGCAGCCATATAAAGGATTTTCAAAAGTTGGTATCAGAACCCACAGTCCTTCTCTAGAAGACGTAACTGCGCTTCGAACACAGTTTTCTAAGAGAGCAATCGGCGGCGTTTCCGACGAATTGTACGGCAGAACAGGTACACTACTGTGCTTCAACTGACACAGATCGTCAACCAAGGCTCTTCCCAGCAGATTTCAGCTCGAACCATGCACAGAAAATTGCAGAGAATAGGCATGCATAGTCGGGTGCCTATGAGAAAACCACTCATTTCTGCCCGACATGCAAGAATTTGTCTGCAGTGGTGTCACGAAAGAAGACACTGGACATCTAAGGAAACGGTAATGTGGTCGGATGAATCACTCTACACCTTATTTCGCACTCATGGGAAGACGTCGAATTTGGCGAGAACCCTATATGAAGCCATGAATCCATCTTGGCTTACTCGCGCTGTGCAAGAGTCTGGTGGGAGTATCATGATATGGGGCATGCTCTGCTTCCATGGAAGTAGTGTCCTGTTGTTCCTTGAGGGTAAACAAACAGCCATGATACCTAGATATACTAGCAGATCAAATGCACCTTGCAATGTTGCATTTTTACTCTGATGGTGACGGATACTTTATGGAGGATAATTCAACTATATATCGCGCCAGAAGTGTTCAAAATTGGTTCAGTCTGACTTCCAACACCTTTCCTGCCCACCGCATAGCCCGGATCTTTGCCCCAAAGTAAAATGTAAGGGATATGGTGGAAAGACGCATCCGACAGCACTCTTCTCTTGCATACAATTTACAAGATCTAAAAAGCTGCATAGTCAACACATGGTATTCTCTGGACGTAAATGTACTCCAGAAGCATGCAGACTTGATCCCAAAGGAATCAAAGCAGTTATCCTCGCAAAAAGGTGGTCCAATAAAATATTGATCTTGGGTTTCTAATTCATTGGCCAGTGTGTGCATATTCATTAAAAACTATAACAATCTCAATAATCATTATGAACGTTATGGGGAATATAAATTAACAATTATGTATTTGCAGTTTGCCCTTGTCTTTCAAGACGTAAGGAAAGCCGTATTTTGCTGTGTCCGTTAACATAGTCCACATAGTCCAGTATAGCTACAGATCTGAAACACTCTTAGATTCTGTTCCCGAAACTTTTAATCTGAAAATTGGGTAATCCCTCATAGTCTTTAATCATAATTTTAAATCATCTGATTCGATCTCAGCAAACGATAACTTATAGAAACATTGGTTGGTAACCACTCGAAATTTCCATGAAATCGAAGGTACTTCCACAACATCTGAGTAGCAAACTGTTTATGTGCCCTTGTAGAGATCAGTAGGAAATTTAAAGCAAAAAACATGAAAAATCAACCGTATCCTCAGTCGAAATCCGGTTGTTATCTGGTTTTGATGACCATTTACGCTACAAGAACAAACTCTGGAGGGGATGCGATGATTCCCTATAATCTGCCCAAAAAAGCGACTACGAAGAGGCTCGATATCCATTCGACCAAACCAGATGGTAACGACATAGCATCTGCATCATTTTTAGTTCGAGTACCATTATAGAGACAAAGGTTAGTTCGAGTACCATTATAGAGAAAATTTTAGGTCGTGCCGTTTACGAGCCAGGAAATGTAAGAAATCACCGGCGTCCTCGTCGGGATTCAAATCACGGATCTTCCTCTTGTTCTGTGGATGTACTGACCACTTACATCGCGACAGCACATAACGGAAGAGGCACGATACCAAGTCAACCTGAAAAGATTTAATTTACAAAATAGTGGTTTTTGTAGTGCTGAAGGCAATGCACGGCATTTCGTCGAAGACTGCGTATTATTGCGTCATGTTAGTGAAAAACATGGTAACATAAAGGAATTCTACTGCCGCAATAAAGAGTTTAGATTTGCAAAAGATTTGATGAACTTTATAAATGGCAATAGAACAATACTGGGAATTTTGGTTCGATGTTTTTAATTGTATTTCTGTTTTAATCTGTGTTTTAATCTTTTGCTTTAATCTTTTAATTGTATTTTTGTTTGTATGTGTTGAGTGCACTGCGTTAACCATGAGGCCAATTATTATCGGCCATGAGGGTTACAGTTCACTCGTATTTTACATCTACTAAATCCAGGTAGTATCATCCACAATATTTTAGGCCGCCCTCCATTGCAGAGACTGTCAAAGCCAGGATATGCGAAAAATTAACTATTTCTCTTCGTTACCGATTCGAACTATGTTAGATGTCCTAACGATTTAACCACCAGAGCACGCATGGAAGTGGAAATCTGATTATTCCCATATATCTTGACATTACCCATGAAATACTACTTTTGAAGAGGCAAGTAATTTATCATATATTTAAATCTTGTGATTTATAATATAATTAGCAGGTAATTTTTATGGACAATATCGTACCATAATTGTAACTGGAAAAGAGTATTTATTTACACGTATCATGCTACGCATCTTGGCATACGGTAATCATTTGCGTCTCACCTAATAAGGTGTCTTTCTTCATGTTTATAGTTTTTTATCTAGTAGCTTGTTTTTACTTGTGATATGATTAAAATATCAATTGCATCGACTGTTTACAGGGCTTTGGAGGATTCCTTGAACTGTACATCCGATATTATTGACAGCGATTGTACAAAAGATAACGGAAAGGAAACTTTTGATTCTTGGTTAAGAGCTCTGAAGGGTGCATATAATTACGTTTGTCAAGGCGATCACGGCAACATCAGAGGTAAGAGTAAAACAACAGCATTATAAAATAATTTGAAGAGATTACAAAATTGTTTCTTTTTATGACAGAAATTATGGTCTTTGGTGAAGGTCATGTAAAAAATACGTTGAACACTTCATGTGATTTTAGTTAGTAAAATAAATATCTAAATCGTTCATTATTTTTTTCGTATATTTATGCTTTTTATGACCTGAATATAAACTTTGACGCTGTTGCGAAATGCCCAGCTGCGGTAAGATAGCTTTCCCGCAAAGGGGGGGGTTAGAGTTGCCAGGAAGTGGCAGGAGAAAGCCGGATTGACAGATCTAGGGCGAAACGGCCTTGGAGATATGCATAGATGGAGCGAGAACATTCTAGAACGCATTCTTAGCGGTTTTCTCGAGAATATTCTCGAAAATATGATATATATATATATACCCTGCCTGTACTCGTAGTAGTTGTATATTGAGTGTAGTACTAGTGTCTTGAGTTCAGCTGTCTTCCCCGTTATAGCCTGAACACTGTGTTACTGAGTGTTTCAGCACGTTTACTGTAATTTCTCAACGACTTTAAACGTGTCTTTCGATTTGCTCTGTGTAACAGTGCTTACTGAAGAGTAAATTGTGCTTTGATTCTTCATCAAGTGTTATCATCAATTACTCCAAATTCACGAACCCGTAGAACGCAACAATGCTAAACTTATGCTGATTGACAGACCTAAAATTTCTGAAGAAAGTTAGATACTGGTTTACTACGATAAACCCTTTCTGAAACGATCACTTAGGGTTAAATGCTGTCTTCTGTAGAAGTTGCTTCAAGATACATGCTCATATAGGTCTTTATTTGTGCTCTTAAAATGCAAATTATTTACAGAAATGATCGTCTTCGGAAAGTAGTCGCCATGAAAAAGTTCACTGCATATTTTTTTTATAGCAAAGGCATTTGATTATACATCATTGGTTCCCATGCATCAAAGGTGCATGACATTGGAGCGTGAAAACAAATACATAATTAGAATTACAAAAAGACAAAATAGTATTTAACCTCATTACAATAACAATAACTACATCGAAACTGGAAAATGGAACAACATATGACTACATTAAGCATAAACATAAATAAATAAATAAGTAAATAAAATACAAAAGAAATTAGTCAGTAGAAGTCAGCTGTATAAATTTTCTAGCCCACTAATATCGACAGTATAGCTTTTTTTCCCTTCAACGCGGAACATTTTAGCAAATCATCTCTGTCCATCTCAGAATTCTGCTTGCACAAAGTGAGTGAGGGAGTATCATATATACCAGTGCGGTGCAGATGTTTAGCGAGACAATCACGTCCGGTTTCCAAGCGAAACGTCGCAGCTGCAGTGGATCTGGGAGAGTCTGGGATATTACAAATCGAATCCTTCTCTTCTTATTCTTAATAAATTAATAATTATGAGCGTCAGCGGAATTTTCATAATTAACAACAACAAAAAAAAAAAAATTTCAAACTCCCTTATATTCATATCCTGGGATTTTCAGTTCCCTTTTAATCCATTCCTTTTTGACATATTGTTGCACTGTACTCAAGTTTTCATGTATGTAGAATTTATGTACTTTGTATTGTATTTATGCCAATTTATATTTAAATGATAATTTTTACAAATTCTTGCATCACAACTCTAGTTAACAGAAGATGTTTCTAACACCTTGGCAAAGCTTAATCTTCAGCATGTAGCTTATTTTCTAACCTAGTTTCAGGCTGAATTATTTGTAAATTAATTACTTGAAATTATTTGTTAACAAAGATGGTCGGTAAATCATGCTAATAATATTTCTAACTATTGTAATTTATAATGCAACGAGTTCATGTGATATATAATATAATTCATTTATAATTTTTTCAGCGGTATTGAAATTAATAGCAGATACTGATAATGTTATACATTTAGATTACAATGATTTAGATTGCCATTTATGCTTTTATGCTACATTCCTAATATTTCATAATGGCATACAGATAAGTTTAACTCATTCACCAAACGTGTAAATCTCTAATTCAGCCCATTTTTGTTCTTACGTGTACTGTATCTTGTATTTTCTTTAACATATTGTTCCGCCTAATTTCAAACAGTCTTATACATCAAGCGAAAAAAGTCACTAAACATTGGTAGTTTGACCCAAGTTTCTAATCTCAGAGATCTCACAGCTCTTTCTTTTTTTGTACTTATTTACTGTGTAAAAATGTATCCTAAAAATTTCAGTTCATGAAGTAAAAATACTTTTTAATTTATTCTGTAAAAATACTTTTTAAATTTATTCTGTAAAAATACTTTTTAAATTTGTTCTTAAAAAATATTGCAAAAATTTTCACCTTAGTGTATCTTTTTACATATCCCTCTAATAAGAAAAGAAATTAACTCGGTTTAGGTGATTGATACCTCGGTACAAGTTATATGTAAACTTTTCCAAAAGCACAGAGTTTATATGGATATCAATAAATTAAGGATTATTTTCCATCTAATTTTCTTAACACGTTTATTTCCAGAATTTCTTTTCACACTGTAGCACTAACTTTATGAGTTTCTATAATCATTCAATTCTCTAGCCATGGAAACTTTGCATACCTTCTGACAAGTAGTTATATTTGTAACCACTGTATTTAATTCCTGTTGACTATCAGTACATTATTCACTTGTTTCACAAGTGCAACTTTTTTTTATACGCAAATCTACGTAAAATAGCATTTAAAACTTCAGTTATGCGGAGCTCCTGATCGATTGCTTGTTTTAGATTGAATGAAATTAAGCTTAATGTTACTGTTAATTAGCTTGTTATTAATTTAATTATACATTTCTAATTAATTATATATTCAGATATTTCCAAGTATATTACTCAAATCTTTGCATCCCAATTTAAAATTTTTGGTTAAAAAAATAAACTTTTATTTATTGAGAGGCCTGATTGATTATATTTATTTGCAGTATTGTTTATCTAATTCCTTCCTCTAGATAAATTTTATAAAAAACTTCTTAGCATAATAATTTAAATTTATTTACAATTTATACGTCAGTGTTCCAAATGCATAGTAATGTTGTTATAATAGATTTCATGCTAAGCTTTTTTTTTAATTTAACTAAATTTAATTTCTACAAACATTTTCATGATTACTTTAATTAACAAAAAGTATTTTTAGCACACTTTGATATGGAATAATTTTTTGCACGCTAGTGAACTCTATTAAAATTTTTGAGTTTAGTTCAGACATCTTAACTATTATTGATGTAATTTATTAAAATATAATTTGTATGCTTTATAATTATTAATTTTATGATGTTATTATAATAAATGAAAGATGTTTGTAATGCTAATATGTACGTTTACCAATACCTTTTATTTTTATTTTTTTTTGCTAGCTCTCGCATTTATTACTGTTATTCAAGTAATTAGCCTGCTTGTTAGATATTTTTTACTTGTTCTTGTGATATGTAATTCTATTTATTTATTTTTATTTTCCTCTTGGCTACAATTGGCTTCGAAAAGTTAAATTGTAACCTTGTAATCAGCAGGGGGAAGAAATTTTGATTGGCGCAGTTGGACTATAGCTCGACCCGGGAGGGATTTTCATTAGCGCAGTTGAAGTACATCCTACACAAGCACACACATTTTTTTTTTAAAAAAGTTTTTCAAGAAGCAGGATTAAGTTCCAAAATAAAATAAATTATAAACTTATTAAATAAATTGCCTTGCCAATCTTTCCAACTAAAACTGACTCGTAATCCACGTTATACACGAAGGAAACCACAAAAACGGTCATTCAGCCACGACGTTCGTCTGGAATCGGACCTAGCTTAAACTACCAGTGTTCAGCGACTTAACCGCTCGGCCACTGGTGGGCCTGTGAATCAGCTGGAATCACTAAAGCATGATTCGCGGACTATTTTTAGCTGCTTATATTATCTATAAAATAATTTTTTGCCTTAGGCTGAAATAAAATTTCAAGCTTTTCTATTCTTCTGGTCTAATTATTTAAGAACTTGACGAGCGCTTAGCATGCAATTTTATAGGCAGCGAACTGGTAATGATTGAGCTGATAAACTGTCTAAAAAGCCAGCTGAAATTCTGCAAGTCAGTAATAGTGGAGTAGTCATAATTTACATCAATGAAAAGAACAGTAAAAAATACTATGAGAAAAAATTCTGATGTTAAATTACTTGAAGAAATTAATTAAATGTGTATTAGAAATTAAATGTATGCCAAAGTACATCAGGTGGAAAACAGAATAAATATTTAAACGTTTCTAGTATTAAAATATGGAATTTGTAACAAAGTTAAATAACCTTAAAATAACTTCAATGACTAAAAGCCTAATACGGGAATATGCAATAATATTAGTGTGAATTTAGAACTAAAATTTGGTTTAAAGAACTTAATGTTTTAAAAGATGTTACCTTGCCTCGATACTTGTTTATCAATGACACGTCTGAATTACATGTATTTGTGGATGCTTGCAAGGGGGCGTATGCAGCGTGCGTCTTTGTTCGATCAATATTTAATTCTGAAGTAAAAATAAATCTCGTACGGGCGAAGTCTAGAGTATCGCCTTTGAAACCTTTTAAGCATTCCTCGCTTAGAATTAATGGCCTGTTGTATAGGTTCTAGACTTGCAAATTCTATTATCAAGGCTCTCAAGTTTGCCCGACTTAAAAGTTACCCTTCTGGTCTGATTCAACTACTACTACCCTTTGGTGGATAACAGAGCAAGGAAATTGGTCCGTTTTCGTCGAAAATAGGGTTAAAGAGATTCGAGAGTCGACGCGAGGTCATTCATGGAGACATGTCCCAGGGAACTGAATATTGCCGACTTGTTATCGCGCGGATGTTTTGCGAAGCAAATGCTTCGGCCTAAATGGTGGGAAGGCCCCTTGTGGTTGCGAGAGAAGGTCCTGAAAACTGGCCCACTGGTGAGATTATTTGTTTGCATGACGAAGTAGAATTGGAGAGGAAAAAGATAAAAGTAGTGAATATTGATCTATCAAAAGACGCACCCCCTTGGCATCGAATCGATGTATCCAATTATGACAAAATGATTAGAATATTTGCATGGATATTTAGATTTGTAAATAATTGTAAAGATGATTCTGAAAAGAATAGTAACATTGAACTTTCACAGTATGAAATTGAAAATTCTGAGAAAAATTTAATTCGTTTGGTTCAAAATTATTATCTGACTGATAAGAAATCTTATAATTTTATTGAAACGCTCATTGATGATCATGGTATTCTGAGAGTTAAAACGAGAATACTAAATAGAGATTACCATGAATCCTTTCTGTATCCAATACTGTTACCAGAAAAATGTGATTTCACTAAGTTATTAATCAGAAATGGGCATAATAAGAACTGTCATGCTGCTCTTCAGATGATGCAATGTATATTACGAGAAAGATTTTGGCTAGTCAAAGCTAGAAAGGCCATTAAAAATGTCCTCTTTAACTGTAGCGTTTGTAACAGATTTAAAACTAAGGCTATGGCAAGCGAACCGACACCTCTGCCACCAGACCGAGTTACGGATTGTGCGCCATTTGAAATCATAGGGATTGATTTGGCTGAACCGCTGTTTTTAAAAAACGGAGGAAAAGCATGGATCGTACTGTTCACGTGCGCTGTGTACCGTGCCATTCACCTTGAACTCGTAAATTCCCTTTCTACTGATTTTTCTACTGATACTTTTCTTCTGGCGCTTCGACGATTTGTTGCTAGGCGCGGACGCCCTAGAATAATCTATAGTGATAACGGGACAAATTTTCGGGGTGCATCTAATGATTTATCAAAACTAAATTGGGCTAAAGTATTAAAGGAAACGGGAACTGAAAGGATAATCTGGAAATTTATTCCACCTACTGCAGCTTGGTGGGGCGGCTGGTGGGAGAGGTTGGTTCGTACAGTAAAAGAATTGCTGAAACGTACTTTAGGTAAATCAGTGTTATCATATGAAGAACTTTATACTATTATTTGTGATTGTGGAAACTATAATTAATTCTAGACCCTTAACTTATGTTTCTGAAGATCCGCAAGAATTAGTACCCTCTGACACCCGCCATGTTTCTTATCGAGAACAGAAATTCCAATGTTGAAGATCTTGATGAATTAAAATTCGTCAAGTCTTAATAAGAGATTAAAGTACAGAACTAAATTGTTAAATGATCTGCAAAGACAACGATTTAGAAAAGAATACCTTAGTCAACTGGTTCAAAATCATAATGAAAAACGATCTCGGGAACCTGTAGTTAGGAGAAATAGTACTGATGGGGCATTGACAACAAAGAAACGTTTATTTTGGCCCTTAGCCAGAATTACTGAATTGATCCCTGGACGTGATGGAAAAGATTCGTACGGTTAAACTTAAGACCCGGCATGGAACAGTTGTACGACCAATACAACGCTATTTTTCCTCTTAGAGATACAGGCCAATGACAGAAACATAATTCCTGATAAGAAACTGGGTGAAGAGGAATCTAATTCTTAGTGCTGAATGTACGTTAAAAAGGGGAATTGCACCTGATAAAATGGTGATGCAACAATATTCCTCCTCTGGACGACTTGTAAAAGCTCCAAAAAGACTTGATCTTTTAAATAATGTTTGTTATGAGTTTGAGACTCAACCTGAGTCTCAAGAGGGGGGAGGGGGAGGATGTTGTGAAATGAACTGAAGTAATAGCTGGCGCCAGGCTAGCTGTTCGTGACGTCAGCCTGCGTGCTGAGTGTTTTCAAAAGTTTTGCTTGTACACGAACGAAAGCTGATCTCGGAAGAGTGATACTGTTTTGATGAAAATAAAGAATGACTTATTAAGAATTTTTTGTCTTTATTCATAATGCACCCAGCCTCGGGTAGAGGCAGCCCGCAACCGAACGAACTGTTTTGAATATATTTGATTTATATATTTTCTGTGTTCTTCGTGTTCTTTCTTCAATTTCTGTGTTCTTTCAAATCATTATTATAATTTATATATATAAAAAAAACTAAACTGAATGAATTCCTGCATCGCTATTTCGCTACCGAGTTATCGCTAAAGCATAATTTCATCTCGTTGATTGTTCAAACATAATTTTCTATAATGAATGATACTTTTCTTTGAAAAAATTCTACTGCAGACTTTTCGTCATGGACAATTACCAAATTGTGAAATCCATGGGATATCAAAAAAAGGATTAAAATATTAAACTACTATTTCAATGGGTCTTAAGAAATCGTACGCAATTTGAAATCAGCGCTTACGCTAGATTTGGCGCGCTGTTACAAAGCCTATTCCAGGCGGCTTTGGCTGTTAAACGGGCGCGTTTGCTAAATTTAGCGCTTTTGCCCATACAATTTCGCTGCAATTTTTTTACGGTCCTCAAAACGGAATAGTACTACCTTTATTTGTTTACGGATACGTGAAAAGCCCCTAGGTGAGGACTTAAGTTCGCCTTAAAACTGGTTCCGCTTTGTTGAGAATAATCACACGTACACCCCGTTCTTGTTTTAATGTCATGTATTTTAACTGTAACTGTTTTATACTTTTGCTTAGGTTGATCTGGCAACAGTTGTAGTAATGCTTGGTCATGGTGTGATATGTAGAAAAACGTGCTGTTGCCATGTGCGTGATTAATTCCATCATTTAATAAAGCCTCTACTTAATTATCATCGGCCTCTGATTCACCTTTTTAAATCTTTACAGCAGAGCGTGGTTCTGATATTGAACACGCTAGAGGCGAAGCATTTATATTTGTTTTGTGGAACTTATTTGTTTGGAACGGAATCGCGCGTTAAGTGAAATTTGAAATGGCAGCACGTGATGAGAACACAAAGTATTGTGTTGAGCCGTTTAACGGTAAAAACTTTTCTCTGTTTAAGCGCCGTTTTGAAGCTGTGTTTGCGCACAAAGAACTTGATAAATATTTAGACGTTGAAGTGGATGAAAGGAAAGTTGCTGAAATCAAAGATGCAAAAAAGGCTTACGCATTGCTGCTAACCCTTCTAGATGATGCCATATTGGCGACCATGTCGAGTGAATCTTCTGCATGTGAAATTTGGAGCAGTTTAAAGAATAAATACCATAAGGTGAGTGCAGTTAGTCAAATATTAGTACGAAAGAAAGAAATTATCGACACTGAAGAAACGCCGAGATTGCAGTATGCAGTCACATATTAACGAACTGTTGGCGATCGTAAATGAACTGCGGCTCTCGGGTGCTGAAGTCAAAGATATGGATGTGATTATTTATTTGTTGATGTCGCTACCTTCTGAGTACGACATTATTAAATCGACGATTGAGAACCAGCCAAATGAAATGCTTACGCTGGACTTTGTTATGCAAAGGCTCTTGAATGCTGAAGAATTGCAAGGTGAGAGAAATTCTTACGATTCTCGTGTTTCTGGCTCAAGTAATAACGTAGCTTTTAGCGCTGATAAGCGTGATATCATCTGCCACAAATGTAAAAGTAAAGGTCATATTGCCAAGCTTTGCAAGAAAAAATTAGTTTGTTTTGGATGTGGACGCCCAGGGCATTACAAGAAGGATTGCAGATTTAAGCATAAATCAGATTATAGAGAATCGGCTGCAGTAACATTCATGGTTGGCGAGCCTGTTGGAAATTTCATTCTGGATTCTGGAGCATCTACACACATGTGTAATAAAGGTGAGTGGTTTGAAGAAATTAAACCTTTTTCTGGAACTGTTGCATGTGCTTCGAAAAATGATGTTTTAAAGTTTTAAAGGTAGAAGGTAATGGTACAGTACCTGGAACATTAAATGGAAGAGAAATATTACTTAAAGATGTGTTATATGTGCCTGAGTTGAACGGTCAATTAATATCTGTGAAGAATATTCAAAAAGCAGGTTACAGTGTAATTTTTAAGAATGATGTAGCTGTTATTGAAAAGAGGAATGAAAAATTTGAGTTTGCTAAACTCAATGAGAAAGGACAGTATGTGAGTCAATTTGAACCTGTTAAAGCTTCAACATACATTGCAAATCATAGTGCAGAATTATGGCACAGGCGCATGGGGCACTCATCTGATAAAATATTAAAAGAAATGGGTTTGCCAGTATCTGAGTCACCTTCAAGCTTTTGTGAAGAGTGCGTACTAGCAAAACATTCCAACACTCCTATGAACAAAGGTCCTAGAAGAAGCAGAGAGCATGTGCCGATGAGAATGGTACACACTGACATATGTGGTCCCATTGATCCACCCACTAGGGAAGGTGAAAAGTATTTTGCTACAATCATAGACGATTTTTTCTAGATTTACTGAAGTGCATCTCTTAAAGCACAAGAGTGACATAAATGAAGTGTTTAAATTGTTCCTAAAGCAGAATCCTGATGTCTACAAAATCGGTGTGATAATGCCAAGGAATACGTGTCTGGTGAACTAGCTCGTTATTGCAAGAAAAATGGTGTTATGATAGATCCTGCTCCTCCATATTCACCTCCTTTAAATGGTGTGGCTGAGAGAGCCAACAGATATCTTTTAGAGAAGGCCCGAGCTCTAATATGTGAAGCAAAGCTTTCTAAATCCTTCTGGGGCTATGCTGTACAGACAGCTGCATATCTTAAGAATAGAATTCCAAATCAGACTGTTGAAAATGTACCTTATAAGCTCAAATATGGGAAGCCGCCTGATTTGAATATTATTAAGGTGTTTGGATCTGATGCATACATGAGAGTTCCTGATAACTTAAGAAAGAAATTGGATCCAAAATCAAAAAAGATGATTTTTATTGGATACTCTACCATGGGTTATCGTTTACTGGACCCAGTCACAAATCATGTTGTGGTTTCTCGAAATGTATCTCAGTTCAAGATGATCTTTCCATAGAAAGTAAAGATCCTGCTAAAGATGAAGTAGTATATGATTCAAGTGATATCCAGAAATCTTGAAGAAAGTTATGAAGAAATTACTAGGCAAAGAAGAAATATAAAATTACCTGTAAAGTTGAATGATTACTTTGTGTATGAAGCTAATGTGGCAACTCTTGATCCAGTAGCATATGAGGATATAACATCATTGCCAAACAGAAGAGCAAGTCCTATGGAGGAAAGCCATGGATGAGGAAATAGCTTCTCTTAATAAAAATGAAGTGTGGGAGTTAGTCAACTTGCCAAAGGATGAAAAGCCAATATCCTGTAAATGGGTGTTGCGCATCAAACGAAACAATCTACATGGAACAACCAATGGGCTACAGTGACAACAGTGGTCGTGTGTGCAAGCTTCTTAAGAGTCTTTATGGACTTAAGCAAGCACCGAGGGAGTGGTTCAAGAGATTTACTGATTTTATAATTCTGTTAAACTTCCAACAACTTAACTGTGAAGCATGTACTTTTGTAAGAAGAACTAAACAGAGTGAAATATTTATTGTGCTGTATGTGGATGACTTGCTAATTGCTGGTTCTAATGATTCAGAGGTAAAAAATTGTGATTGAATTACTTAGAAATGAATTTGAGATGTCCAAGGCTGAAGTTGCAAATGAATTTCTTGGAATAAGTTTTGAATATTCACAGAACAAACTTACTTTAGGCCAAAATCTTATGTTGAAAAATTGTTAAATAGATTTAGAATGTTAGATTGTAAGCCATCTGATACTCCTCTAGTGCCTAAGTCATCAACTTCATCAAATTTTGTGAATGGTGAAAGATTTCATGGCCCTTATCGTGAACTTGTAGGTGCTTTGCTGTATCTGTCTATGACAACTCGTCCAGATATTCTGTTTTCTGTGAACTGTCTGAGTCAGATACAAGAACAACCCACTAACAGTGCTTGGGCTGGTCTGAAGCAAATTCTTCGATATTTAAAAGGGACATCTGAATTCAAATTATTATTTTGTAAATCTAATAGTGTTGATATTATGTTAAATGTTTATGTTGATGCTGATTGGGGGTCAGATACAAATGATAGAAAATCTATTTCAGGGTATATTATTTTCTTTAATGATTGTCCTGTAACTTGGTCTGTTGTTAAAAAGCAAACATCTATTGCTCTGTCCTCTACTGAGGCA